ATTTTAGATTTATTGTTTGCAAACAAGTTCGACAAGGGAGCTTAATTTACTCAAATCCGTGTCGACCCCAAACAGAGTCTGGGGTTTCTTTTTATAGCTAACATAAACAAAAGATTCTAACGTGTCGCGTAATTATTGGCAGCCCAAGTATTACGTCTTACAACATATGTCTAGCAGGTACATGTTCTATGACGGTTTACATACATGTCTCATTTACATCTTAAATCTCCTCCCTGGGGCCGTCCTTAAGTCCATTTCGGTCATTCTTCGGTCAAGGTCTGAGTTCTTCACATCAGCATCTCTCCCTGTCCCTCTTCTCTTCTCTCTCGTAAGGAGTTATTTGTTGTATCTGTTTCTGGCTATGTCTGCAAAAGTCTAGTGTTACTCGTAAATCTATCATTGGCCTACATACCTTAGCAGAAGCAAGTGTGATAATATGCAGAAGCAATTATGTAGTGAAACTAAACAGTTCTCAGCTGTGAAGCCTTTGTGTAGGGAGATGAGACATTTTTACCACACAGCTGCTACACAAACGTTATTGCAAAATCATAATGACTAGATTATAACATATTTTTATCACACCCCTGGACTAAAATTAGGGGGTGCCAGGTGCTGTCCAGGCCCCTCAGGTGAGATAGGGGGTGCCAGGCACTGTACAGACCCCCCCAAGACTGGGAACAGTGGCGCCGGGTGCTGCACAAGAGCAGTGCTGACATGCACAGGCGAGGGACACACACGCAGTGGCTCCTGATCCAGCCCTTGCTGTTGCACAAGGGTTCAAGCCAGGGGGCCTCTAGGGTGTCTCCCACCCCACCAGTGCCTCCCCCTGTGCCAGGGCCTCGCACGCGGCTCTGGGTGGCTGCTGCAATCATCCTCGTTGCTCATGCGGGAGCCTGTGCTGGCGGCTGCAGCACTCAAAGCCTCTTCCTTCCCCATGCTCCGACCCCATGTGACCCCCAGCCTGGTGGGGAGGTGATTCCACATGCCCCCACATCTCTCTGTTAAATGTGCTGCACACGCAGGGGCACGCCACTGTGTACATGCACACCCAGGTGAGGCTCCAGGGGAGGTTATGATGCTTCCCCCTAATCAGGGCCCCTCTGCCCCCTCCTTACCCCACACTATGTCCCATGATCCCCTGGGAGAATTTGCCAGACCCTGGCCCCAGCTGCTGCCCGCCAGACTCAGCCCTTAATGGGCAGCCCCAGGATCAGGGCCCAGGGTGGCAACTCTGCCTGTGGGGACAAGCTGGGGCAGAGTGGTGGAGGATTCGGCCGAGATCAGGAGCACCCCCAACCCCCTCCTCCATTGCCAGCACCCTCCCACAACCTCCCCCCTTCTTAGCAGGCCCTGTTCGTACAGCACCTGGCAAGTGGCCTGGAAGATGATGGGACCACCTCCGCACACACAGACAGCGCAGGGGCTTAGTTGGTTGCAGGGGGAGATGTCCTGTCCTTCACAGCACAGTGTCCTTGGAAGGAAGATCACAACCCCACCTTCTCCCTGCATAGTGACCTACACTTCCCTGGATACCCCCTAGATGCCCCCTAGATACCTACACCCCACTAGATGCCAAGTGCCCTACACACACCCCTTTGCACAAGGAGACAACCCAATGCCCTCCACCGCATCTGCCCCCACTCCTACCCCTTGTCCTGCCCCCCAACCCTCCTCCTCCCTCCCCCAGATAAACCCCACTTCCTGCTCCCCTGCCACTAATTGGCCCCCTGACCTCATCCCCACCTACCTGGGCCTTGTTCTCCCACTAGCTGAGCCCAGGTGGGTGGGTGATTTCTGCCCCGACCTTGTTTTAGTTTCATAGTTGGTAGGGTCAGAAGGGACCTGAGCAGATCATCAAGTCGGACCCCCTGCCCTGGGCAGGAAAGGATGCTGGGGTCAAACAACCCCGGCAAGGTGTCTATCTAGCCTCCTTTAAAAGACCCCCAGGGTAGGAGCCAGCACCACTTCCCTTGCAAGTTGGTTCCAGATCCTAGCCGCCCTGACAGCGAAGTAGCGCCTCCTGATGTCTAGTCTGAACCTACTCTCAGTCAACTTGTGGCCATTATTCCTAGTTACACTGGGTAGTGCTCAGGGGAACAGGGCCTCTTCCATTCCCCGCTGGTCCCCCCGGTAAGTTTATAGACAGCCACCAGATCCCCTCTCAGGCTTCTCTTGTGGAGGCTGAACAGGTTCAGGTCCCCCTGTAGTCTCTCCTTGGAGGGCCTGTCCTGCTGCCCCCTGACCATGAGGGTTCAGAGGAGGGCCACCCACTCGATGCTGTCCACATCCCTCCTGAAGCGCGGAGCCCAGAACTGGACGCAGTACTCCAACTGCGGCCTGACCAGTGCTGTACACAGGTGGAGGATCACCTCCTTGGACCTGCTTGTGATGCATCTGTGGTCAGCCTTATGGACTGCTTCCTCGCATTGGCAGCCCATGTTCATCCTGGAGTCAACAATGACTTCAAGATCCTTTTCTGCCTCTGCACTGATGAGAAGGGAGTTCCCAGCCTGTAGGTATGCTGCTGGTTCTTCCTCCCCAGGTGCAGCACCTTGCACTTGTCAGTGTTGAACCCCATCCTGTTCTCATCCGCCCACCCCTGGAACCTGTCCAGATCTAGTTGTGGGCTGTCCCTCCCTTCTAGTGCGCCCACCTCTCCCCACATCTTAGTGTCATCTGCGAATTTGAACAGGGTACTTTTCACCCCCTCGTCCAAGTTGCTGATGAAGATGTTGAACAGTGCGGGCCCAAGAACTGAGCCCTGGGGGACCCCACTGCCCACATCCCTCCAGGTCCACCACCACTCTCTGGGTGTGACCCTACAGCCAATCTGCCACCCATCTGACTGTAGATATTGACGCCACAGTCCCCTAGTTTTTTAATGAGAATGGGGTGAGAGACCGTGTTGAAGGCCTTCCAGAAGTCCAGAAAGACTACATCCACCGCGACACCTGCATCCAAGGATTTTGTGACCTGGTTGTAGAAGGCCACCAGGTTGGTCTGACAGGACCTGCTTCTAATGAACCCAAGCTGGTTGCCCCGAAGCATAATCTCCCCTGCTTGCCCTTTGCAGATGTGTTCCTGGATACTTTTCTCAAAGAGCTTCCCCAGGACCAAGGTAAGACTAATGGGCCCCAAACCACAGGTAATCGTGCGTGTGTGTTACCTGGGGCCCCTCCTTGCCCCCACCCCCAGCTGGGCCCTGGGACCTAGTGCACAGGCAGCATCACACACGCACACGCGCATCCTGCTTTGTATATCCCCTATCCTCCCCACACCCCCCCCACACACACCACACATCCCATACATATGCCCCCACATCCTGCTCTGCACACACTCCCCACATACACCCCCACACACAATATACAAGTGTTAGACTTTATTTTGACCTATTATGCAATCATCTCTACATCCACTACTAAAAAATCCTTAGATTAAGACAATTTTTTTTAAATAACATGTAAATAGGCTACCATAGTTGCTTGATGTTTAGTGTATGACTTGTTTTTACATCTATAATTTGTTAAAAAGATATATTCTGAAAGATAGGGCAGATGACATAGACTGGAATTGGGGGGGGGTGAGGGGCCCTGGCACCACAAAGGAGGCAGCAGAGAGATAGAGCTCTTGAGCACAGACCTGGTGGGAGAGGCAGACACAGACACCCTGCATTCATTTGCCCCAGCTGGCAGGGGTGAGGGGTCCCAAGGCTGGGGGAGGTGGGGCGGCAGGAAGGTGCTCCCAAGGTTCCCAGAGCGAGGGATAGGCACAGTGGGTCTATGGAGCTGAGTGGGGGTGAGCTACTCCTCTTCTTTCCTGCTCCGCAACAGCATCTTTCCCACAAAAAGCCCAGCCCCCAAGACACCCAAGAGGGCAACACCGGCCGCCCCAGCAGTCACAGCATCCCGGACCTGGAGAGAAGAGAGGGAGCGGTGAGTGGGGGTGGGGTGGCGGGGAGCAAGGCGGGTTCAGAGCCAGGACGCCTGGGTTCCCTGCCCCGCTTTGCCCCTGCTCCGGGTCTGTTTCCCCTCCAAGGCTCTATGGGGATGGCTTGCTGGGGGACTGGAAAATGTGCAGCACCTGGCACTGTGGGGCCCCTATCCTGGACTGGGAGGTCTGGGCAGAACCCACCCAACATGGACCCAATCCTGGCTAGGGGGGCAGATCTTGGCTGGGGGGGAGGGTCTCAGATAGGGACCCCAATCCTGGGTGCTGGGGACCTGCTCCTGGCTCAAGGATGGAGTGTCCTGGGACAAGAAGGGCCCCAATCCTGACTGGAAGGAGGCTGTCAGGGACAAGAGGGTCGTGATCCTGGCTAGAGGCGTGCAATCCTGGCTGGGAGCGCCCTGATCTTTACTGGGGTGGTCTGGGACAAGCAGGGCACCAATCCCAGCGTGGGGGAGAGCATCTTCTCTGAGGGTGGGGTCTGGGATAAGGGGCCCTGAAACCCAACTATGGGGGACTGATCCTGGCTGTAAACACCCACCTGGTCACTGCGGGGAACACCGTAGCGCAGCTGGGTGACGAAGTGCTCGCAGTTTTGGCTGGTGATGCTGTAGGACAGCACCTGACCCACCTGGGCCTCAGCGTCACGCACGATGTCCTCGCGGGGCCGTGCTGGCATGTCTGTGTCATGCAGGTTGTTCACCTGGTACCGGTCGGCTGCCGTCACAGTCCAGAGTGGGTCCCGGCGCACCACCGCCTTGTCCGTCAGCACCGAGAACAGGCTGGAGAATCCTGCCTCCGCTGCCTGCCCTGGGGGTGGACCAGACATGTGAGGGCAGGGGCACGGGCACGGGCAGGGCTTCCCAGCCACCATTACCAGGGTTTCCACTTACCACAGAGCAAAAGCAAGCACATGGGTAGTTAGTGTGGAATAAATGTAGCCACTTAGGTAGTTAATGCAGTATAAATGTGGGCCCATGGGTAGTTAACATGGGATAAACATGGGCGCACAAGTAGTTCACGTAGGATAAGAGCAGGCACACAGGAAGTTAATGGGCTAAGTGCAAGCACATGGGTAGTTAATACAGGATAAATGTGGACATATCTGTAGTTAATGCAGGATAATTACAAATAGTTAATGTGGGATAAGAGCAGGTACATGGGTAGTTAACAGAGGATAAATATGGGCAACTGAGTAGCGAATGCAGGATAAGCAAAGGCACATGGGTAGTTAATGTGGGATAAGCATAGGCACCCAGGTGGTAGTTAATGTGGGAAACACACAGGTGATAGGTAGTTAATGTGGCATAAACATGGCCACATGCACAGGCCACAATTAGTGCAGGATAAGCACAGGCATAGGGGTATATAACAGGAGGGAAGCACAAGCTCAAGGGTAGTTAATATGGGATAGGTGTAGGCACACAGGTAATTAATGTGGGATAAGCATGGGTGCCCCGGTAGATAATGCGGAACCAGCACGGGTGCACAGGTAGTTAACATAGGATAAGCATGGGTTCATGGGTAGCTAATGTGGAATAAAAGTGGCCACATGGTAGTTAATATAGAAAAAGAGTGTGCATGTAGGTACTTAACAGGGGATAAATGTCGGTGCATGAGTAGTTAACATGAGATAAACATGGGCACACAGGTAGTTAACATAGGATAAGAGTGGCCCCAGGGGCTGAGAGAAGGGATAACATATACATGGCATTTTCGTGCTCCCCATTCCCCTCCCTGGTGACCATGGGCCCAGCTGGGGACTGGACAGTCCCTGGCATCAGCATGAACCTGCCCATACCCAAGAGGCCTTTATCCTGGAATAAGGAGCAGACACACACACGGGCTCTCCCAGGCTAAGTACATGTAGCAGGTGCTATGACACTGCTCCACCACTAGGGGCCAGGAGCTGTGGACTCTCCAGGGATGATACCACTTAGGGAAGCAGACATGCGGCATTTACCCTGGGGGATTTACTGGATTTACTCTGATCCAAGATAAGCCTGGCCACGTGTTGGCACTCTCTAGGCCGCATACAAAGCAGCTCCAGAGTTTTACGTGCTCCTAAGGACTCCCCCCACCTTCCCCCTGCTTACCTTGGGGGGCCATGTGGACAACATAGCCATAGCCCACGTAGACGGCCCAGTGGTCGTAGGTGGAGCGAAAGATCTGAATGAGATCCCCAGGCTTGGGCTCCTTCTGCTGCAGGGAGACCAGGGCAGGGTCAGAGAGAGGGTAGGTTGGACCAGCCCAGTGCCAGTGCCACCCTGGGGCAACCCAGCAACACCCACCCCTCTTTGCCTTGGCATAAGAGTGAGCTCTTGGACAGAGAAATAGATCACGGTCTATCTAAATTTCAAAGTAATTCATTCATTAAGCTGAAATTTAAGAATACCGGTATATACTAGTGCATGCAGAATTATAAATTATTATTCATAGATTATATTACACATTGTAAATGATACTGTGTGGACAGATATGGAAACTATTTGCTGACGTAGCTACGTGCATTTACATGCGTTTACTATTTTATCAACAATTAGTCATGCCTGCAACTACTGCTATTGACTTTGGGTCAGCGCCTCCATCAGCAGG